AAAGTGGTGTCCCCACCCGGCAGGGCGGGTGTCTGCCAGCCCATGAAGCCAAGCCGCCAGGCTGACCCACAGAAATGCATAAAAAGGCCTTTTTCCCAGCTTGGCACGAGGTTTGGCCCAAACCTCAGAACTGGTGGCTGCTCCACCAGCTGCCCTGACCCCCCGTCCCCCTCTCCTCGCTTGCTCCAGCTCCGTTTAATGGGATCGGATGAGATAATCCCCCGTGTCCCCTCGCGGCGCTATCAGATGGGATTTCTGCAGCGGGGCTGGGGGGGGGAACCTATCGCCCCAGCCATCGCTTCGGCTGGAGGCCAGATCCGCCCGTGCCCATCGCTCCGCTGCGGGGCTCGGTGCAGTTCCCCCATGGGGAGCTGGTCCATGGCTGCGGCTCCATCGCCCGAACCCCGGGGGCCACTGCGGGATGGGGGGCTGCAGCACACGTGGACATTTCAGCATTAAATGACAGCCTTGTTTTCTGTTGTGTTTTTTTAAGAGGCTGCATGCCTGACCAGACCGCATTTCTTGGTCTGCATCCCATATTTATCCTGTAATTACACCTTCGGACAAAGGCTGCCTGTCTGTGAGATTTTTTTTTAAGGACACAGTTTTATTATACACTGTGCTTTCACTGTAATGAAATCTTGGGGGGTGTGGGGGGGGAACTCCTTACAATTTGGGGGTGAAAGCTGTTCTTTCTCGAAACCTGCCCCAAGAGCGAAGGAGCTTGCCCGAGCCCTCTTCCTCCCTTTTCTCGAGGAAAATGCAACCGCAGACATCCCCGATGCTGCTTCCACCACCCCGTGAGGACGAATGCCACGAAACCCGTCTCCGCGTTGTCCCGTGAGAGAAAGGTGCCACCTCACCGCCGAGCCGCAGGAGCAGAGCCTTGCCAGAGAGGTCTTTGCGATCCTTACAACCAGCCCGCTCAGCTGGGTAAAGCTGATGCAGCTCCTCGTTGCACTTGCCTGGATCCCGGCACATCAAGGGACGAATGCCCACAAAACGGCACTTCTGTAAAACTCCTAAAAAAGAAGATTTGGGGCGCGCCTCGGCACAGAGCCCGCTTCAATCCTGGGAACAAGAACGGTCTTGTGGCAGGGCCCCGGGACAGAGCGGAGCCCCGCTACCAGCTCCCCATGGCTCTTTCTTTCGGATACAAAAAACTGAACCGCAGAGACCGTTGCGTTTCATCTTTGGGGTTTATCCCAAATCCCTTTTCCGGGTGGGATCTGCAAGCAGTTTATGGTCTGGCACGTACTTGGGTGATGGCTACGAATACACGTGACTGGCCTGCCCAAAATACGGTGACCTGGGTGCTGTGGTTTGTGGGGAGCGGCCTGCTTGGTCTTCTCAAGCCGGTGTCACTGCAAAACTGGAAATGGAAAATGAGGTTTGTTGGGGAGAGAATCAACAAAACGGGCCCCTGTTGATCTTTGCTAAAAGTAAGTTTTGTTTATAAGGTATAAACCAGCTAGTGTTGGTGTTTAAAAGCAGCCAGGGATGGGTCTGAATTGGGCTGACCTGATCCCACCCCGGCTGCGGCAGCGATCCCCAGGGCACATGGGGGTGACCAGATCGCCTGGGCTGAATGGGGAGCCCAGAAGACACAAAAAATGCCCCTTTCCCACGGGGGCCATCGCGGGCCGATGTGTGTGACCACATGCGGGCAACATCTGTGGGTGGATCCTCGGGAGCGATTGCTCCGCAGCGGGTTTGATGAGGTTTATTGTGAAGCCCTCTTTATTTTCTGTGTTCCAGAGGGACCTTTTTTCCCTCCCGCACCGAGGTCGGGATGAGCTGCAGCTGGGAGACTTCTCCCTTGGTTTTACAGCAGAGACGTTGTCAGCAGGGGGGCAAACAGGACCTTTCCAGCTGCCCAGGTTTGGCTGCGAGGGACGGGGGCTTTTGGGACGGCCCCGGGGGGAAAGCAACTCTCCAGAGGAGACCCAAGGGATGCTGAGGCCCGTCCAGCCTGTCAAGGGCTACTGTGAATCCAAACGGGGTAGCCTGCCCCGATGCCCATGATGGGCAGGACAAGGAGGCGCAGGCTTACGGGGGGGCTCAGGCGGGTGCAGCGCGGGGGCACCCGTGGCATCCCAAGGTCCTTCCCACCCATCCTTGGATTTACCGTACTCGGAGGGACACCCATTTGCTCTGGCTGACGTTGCGTTGAACCTGAGGAGGGGTGGACGCAGAGGCAGGTATATACCCATGCTGCCTGCGCAAGCCCGGGCACGGCCGATGGCTGCCCCCAGCCCCCCCGCGCGTACAGATCCCTGGCAGAAGACAAAACCCTCTCTGAGGCTGACCGGCCCTTGCTGCAGTCGTCTGCCCGCAGCCGGCCGGGGAAATATCATCCAAACAACGGATTTGCCAGCGCTGGGCGCGCACCTGCACGCGGAAGGCTGCCTCCGACCACAGTTTTGAGCATTCGGAGTTTCTTCCCGTTCGCCTGGAATGGGACGCGAGGTTTTCACAAAGGCTGCTTTTACCTCCCCTGTTTGCTTTGGGCACCGGTTTTGCCACTGACCTTGTGTCGCAGCTAGAGCGAGAGTGAAGCAAATACATGGCCTATAGATACTTAAACGTATTGCTCAATAATATTGTTTATACAATACATAACAAATGCGTGGCCTATAGATACTTAACGGTATTGCTCAATGATAATGTTTATACAACACATAACAAATGCGTACTTCACAAAGTTCGATGGCGAGGTATGCTCGATTATTTGCTGCACAGAGGGCAGGGTCGGACAAAACCAACAGGGAGACCCTCCCGTTGGGTCATGAGGTTCAGAGGGGACCCCCTTGCTTTCTAAAGTCCTTCTCAGAGCAGGGTCTAGGTGCGGCTGGATCCCAGCCTCATCCCAGACTTGGTCAACGGTTTATATCTGAAGGATTGCATTCGTGTAATCAATCCTTTGTATCACGTAGCTCAGATTTCAAAGTTGAGCACACTGTTAGCCACTTCCTGAGGACCCATTGCAACAAGGAGTCCCTCACCCTCAAGGAGCAGCCTCCAGAGGTGTCCCTGCCCATGGGGACATCCCAGCGTGCAGCCCGCTGCCACGCAGGAGAGCTCAACGGGCCCTGGGCCATCCACTGTTTATGGAGTAAGATCACAGAATGATAGAATCACGGAATGCTTTGGGTTGGAAGGGACCTTTAGAAGTCATCTAGTCCAACCCCCCTGCAGTGAGCAGGGACATCTTTAACTCGATCAGGTTAAGATGATTGACTTACAGCTATATCTGCATACCAGCACGGCGTTTGGGCCACTGCTCCAGACAGCCCTTGGCTACCTGGGTTGGCATCCACCTCCAGAGCCCAGCATGAGCTGGATGCAGCCATCATGACCCCACTGGTGGCTGTGGCTTACACGGGGCAAGGAGCACGCCACCGCACCTTGTCTTGCTTGTTGGTGCATCTCCGACTCGCTGGCCCAGGAGGGGTTTTTTTAACCCCTTTTTTTTTTTGAAAGGTGGCCCCGATCTTCTGGTGTGCAGCTGGATTCACCTGATAGCCCTCATTGCCTGGGAACAACGCTGTGGTGGGCTGTCCTCGCCAGGGACTTTGCCTTGGTTTGGAGGAACGCAGAGGACGACCAAACCCACCACTGGCAATGCCTGGGGAGGCTTTGCCTTTGTCTCGGAGGCAGGATGAAGGCCTTTGCCTCGTGAGCAGCGGAGTTAGGGCAGGAACGAGACCCTAACTCTCATTTGTGTGACAGGGGAAAAATAGGGGAGTGCTCCTGGAGTAATCGATTTCTCCCAGCCTGGGTATGTTTAGGTTGGAAAAGCCCTTTAAGCTCACCAAGCTGAACCATTCCCCTAATCCTACCATCCCACCCCCAAACCCTGGCCCTCAGCACCGCCTCTGCCCGGCTGTTAAATCCCCCCAGGGCTGGGGACTCGACCCCTTCCCTGGGCAGCCCCTTCCAGTGCCTGACAGCCCCAAGGGGAAGGAATTGTTCCCCATGGCCAACCTCACCCTGCCCTGGCACAACTTGAGGCCGTTTCCCCTCGTCCCATCGCCCGTTCCCTGGGGGAAGAGCCCAACACCCTTTCCCAAAGCCGGCCACTGCCAGGCTATTCCAGCAGCCTCCTCACAGATCAGTGCCATGCAGGGACCAGGAGAGATGACAGGGAGCAGACCTGGAGCGCTACTACCCCGGGGATCCTTCCCAGCCTCTGGACATTCGTAGCTCCTGGATTTCTTGGCCAGCATGGGTACCTCTGCATTTAGCAGCTCTGGAGGATTTATCTTCCCTGGATTAATCAAAATTATTTGTCCCCTATGGAAGGTTTTAGCATCCTCCAGACAGGTCCTGTGTAACAAAAAGCACAAACCTGCCCCTGGCTTATTTCAGCTGCAGGCTTTCCGACCAAGGACCTTCCTCTGCTCCCAACTTTCTTGTTGGCCATTCCATCCCTCCTCTCTCCTGGTCCTCCCTGAGTAGAGCAGAAAGCCCCCCCCGATGCTTTTGACCCCTTGGTTTCCCTTCTTTCCCGCTCCCCGTGCCCCTCCTGCGACGGAGGGGAAGGTGTCCGGTGCCGCACGCTGGACTTGGACACCCGCGTCCCATCTCCCCACGGCCGAGCCGGCTGCACCCTCTGGTGGCAACCCTAAGGCCAGGCCCTGCTGCTCCTGGAAAAAAAAAAAAAAAGATGTGAAATCCTTTGTCTGTCTCCCACCCACGAGGTTTGGGGGAGCTTTGCTCGGGACCCCGCTGGGAAGGGGCTTCGGCACCAGCCGGCATTCGCAGCAGGAGGAAGGGAGGGAGCCTTCGACCCAGCACGGGAAGGGGAGCGCGGGGGCAGCTCTGCCAGCTCACAACGCCGCAGTGTGCACAGCAGCTATATTTATCCGCACGGCCGGCAGCTATATTTATCTGGAATGCCACAGGAGCCTAAAGTCTTGGGGGTAATTTCCGTGCTGCGGCAGAACACAATCTGGGTGTCCTTTTTGCTGTAAGCCTCCTTCTCTGCTCGCTGCTCCCCTTTCTCCAGGGGCCTTCGCTACCTTCTCAGCCCTCCCCTGCTCCTCCTTACATCCCGCTGCCTCCACCCTGGTGATGCTGGGCTCCTTGCCCCCTCCGGCCCCCTCGCACAGCCCTCTCTGGGCTCCTGCTCCCGCAGATAGGGAGCAGATCCGGCTTCACTGCCCCCTCCGAGGGAGCCCTTTCTCTTGGCGAAGGGAGCGGGCCATCCTCTGGCTGCGTTACTCGCCCAGCCTGCAGGCTCGGCCAGTTTGTGGGGTTTCCCGATGAGCCCCTCCAAGCCACAGCCACGAAATGTGAAGTCCCCCAGAAGGGGCAGGAGCAGGGCACCCTCTGCTGCCAGCCCCCGGCTGCCCCCCCAAAAAGGGGGCATTGAACCAACACCCATTTAACCAACACCCGCAGCGGACAAAGGACGAGCCAAGGTGGGCAGACAAAGCCCGACGTTCGTGAACTTTCCAAAACAAAGCAAAACCAAACCGCAGCGCCTCCTTGGTTTGTTGTTTGGGTTTTTTTTTTTTCCTTTAAGATGAGCTCATGACTGTTTAATGCTGGGGTTTGGCAGGCCTGGCCGCACATCCTCAGCATCAGCAGAGCCTCCCGTCTCGCACAGCATCCTTAGGCGCTGCCAGCTGGCTCAGCCGGGACAGTTCCCCTGCTGCCTGGGTGTTTGCCTGTCACCCTTAAAACATTCGTAAGATCTTTATGGTCCTCACGTGGAAGATGTAGGCGTGGGGCGGGGGGGGGAGGCGAGTGCGCAGGCAGCGACACGGCCGCTGCCGCCGTGGGGCCAGCCCCCGCTCCCCGCCGAGATGGGATCCCGCGTGTCCGTGGACGACTCCGTGCGGGTGGTGGGGGTGGGGGGCGGCTTCGGAGGCACGGCGGCCGCTGGCTTGCTGAAGTCCCGGGCCATCCCCTTCGTGCTGGTGGACGCGAGAGAGGCTTTCCACCATAACGTCGCTGCCCTCCGCGCCGCCGTGGAGAGCGGTAAGGGATCAGCCGACTTCCACAGCCTTCCCCCTGCGTGGGCTCCGGCCCTCTCACCCCCACCGGTGACCGCGGCAGCTGGGGGGACTCTGGGAGTAACAAGGGCACGGGGTACCGAAAGCGCAGCCTCCGCCCCAGTGATGGTGAAAGACTGGATGTTTTCCCTCTGGAAAACAAATGTTTGGCTGTGGGAGGACGCACAGAGCGTCTGTGTTAAGCTCATTGCATGTCCGCTGGGAAAACTGAGCAAAAACTATGCCCAGGGTCCCTTTTTTTTTTTTATTTCAAGAGTTTAGAAGGTGACTAAGCTAAAACCAGCAGCAGCTGGAGGAGGTGAGCGAATATATTTCTGTATTTGGCACTTGAAACATGAAGCAGCGCAGCAGTGAGGCTCCGGATGATAAAATTCTGTTGGTGAGCTGCTCAGGCTTGTCTGGGACCTCATTTGGGAGACTGGGCAAACCTCGTTACTCAGCTGCTGGGGATTTAGGGGGGAAAAAAAAAAAAAATAATCTCACATTCAAGGCTGGGAACAAGCATTGAAAGAATGTCAAAAGCTTAGTCTGAGGCGCAGGTAACATGACAAAAAGCCTCTGATGTCCTGCCTGAAATCCCTGGACCACAGCGGAGCACTTGCTGGCAAACCTGTACAGGAGATTCTGTATGGGAGACAAAGCGACCTCGCTGAGGGGGATGCCTCGGCTCCGAGGAGCTGATCTTTGTCGCCAAAGATGAGGTGAAGGTCCTGAAGCTCATTGCTGGGCAGAGATAATGCACTGTGACAGCCCAGCCACTGGTTCCAGGTGCATGCAGCACAAGGAGGGGGGGAGAAGGAGGAGGAGGGAAGAGGAAGGAGGGAGGAGGAGGGTCTGTTAGCCCCTGCAGAGGGAGAGCTCTTCCCTGTCCTCTCCTCTTACCACAGGGTTTGCCAAGAAGACTTTCATCTCCTACTCTGTCACCTTTGGGGACAGCTTCCGACAAGGCAAAGTTGTTGGCATAGACCCCGAGAGGCAACAAGTCTTGCTCAGCGACGGCGAGGTGGGTGACGCAAGAAGTTGCGATGAGTAACTCGGCTGCCGTAGGGGATCACGTGCGAACGCAGAGCGCCAGCCTTCAGCAGGGCGTGCTGGCAGTCTCGCCTCCTTCGGGTTTCTTCTTCAGCTATGTCGTGGCTGCGAGAATGCAGCGCTCCGAATCTAGGCTGCACTGGCTTTGACTGGTGAGGTCTGGTTGGAGAAGCGACTTGGAATTTAGGTTTCAGGCTGCTGGCTGTGCTTGGAGGCCTCAGGGCCTGGGGGAAATAGCACGATGGGAACGACCACGGGGCACCTACAGAAAATGTGCCCCTCTGAGCAGGAAGGGGAGGGGGGTGGTGGTACATACACAGGACAGAATCCTGCTCCAGGAAAAACAAACCAGACCTTTGCCCTTGAGCTGGGAATGCTCCTCAGTTGTGGCAAATGCCCCCGTACCTCCCACAGCACAGATCAGCTGAGCACACGGACCCTGACCCGTCCGATACCCCCAGGGCTCAGGGTTCACACACATAACAGGGTTCCTGTTCCGGTGTAACCCTTGGCTCGGCTGAAATGCCTGACCCTAAACAAGCCACAGCCCAAGCCCTCTGGGAAGTCACCGATTGCTTTCCTCTAGGTTTCTGTCACCTGTGGGCAGAAGTACCCATGCCCATGCTTAATACTGGCCCTGTAACGCCAGGAGGTAGAGAGGAATGAAACCAACCAACCCCCCAGCCATCTCCTCTAAAACCAAGAGGCAACATGGGGAAAGACGTAGCATTTGATCATCCTGAAGAGCTTGGCAAGAGACCATCTTCCCCCACGGGCACTGAATGACACCATCCCTGCTAGCCAAGCTAAGTGGCCCAGAGCTGCGTTGGGGTGTGGGTGTGCAGTAAATGCCGCACCCCATCTAGCACTCAGATGAGCTTTTCTTCTTACAGATGGATTTAGAGCTCAACAATTAACCCCGGAGCTCAGATCCTTACCTAACTGCAGGAAGAAACAAGGGCAGCAGCTCCGATAACTCTTTTCAGCCAGAGGGTCTCACCTCTGTTCAGAGAGGGAGAAAAGGAGAGAGGTTAAGTCTCTGGAGCCAGCTGTGATGGTAGCTTCAGTGCCTGGCATAAATATCAGGTTATTTCCTGTGAACTTAGGGTAATTTCTTCAAAGCTCTCAGCTCACCTGAAGAACGGTGCTTCTCAGACCCTGAGGAAGGCAGTTACTCGGTGTCACCTGGACCAGGTCTCTTCCTAAAGTCACTGACAGCAGCAAGCACTTCCCTAGTTATCAGTGAGGGCTGGAGGAGGGGGATGAGTGAACAGTACCTAGGAGGCAACAGCTCTGTTCTAGGCTCTGTTTTGAAGAGGTCTAACATCCTGTTCCACCTTCTGTCCTCCCAGGAGCTTCACTACTCCCATCTCATTCTCGCAACAGGCAGCGATGGGCCATTCCCTGGGAAGTTCAACAAAGTCATCGACATGGAAAGTGCCATCCAAACCTATGAAGACATGGTTAAAGAGGTGAGGAATCAACTGGCTTCCCAGGAAGCGTTGCCTGCCTCTGTTCAGCTTCCCTGTCCCAGACCCCACTGTGGGTATCTGGAGCATCCCTGTCCGAGAGCAAGAGACCAGGATGGCTGCAGGGACAGGCCAGGCTGAGGAGCACGCGCTAGCTGGGGAAGGGGGGAAACCTGAAATGCTCGGTGGTGTTACAGCGTACACAGGAAGAACGCATGAGATTCTTGGTTTTCTTTCCTCTTAATGAACTACATGGTTTATTGCTGTATCTCGGGAGGGTGCGTTCACGGGGTGGCTGAAGGTATCTGACTTCCTGTGCTTAACAGTTCTCTTGCAACGCGAGTTTCCTCTTTACTTCAAGATTGAGAAATGTGAGCGCATCCTGGTAGTGGGAGGTGGTGCTGCTGGAGTCGAGATGGCTGCAGAGATCAAAACAGAGTACCCGGCCAAAGAGGTAGTAGCATGTTTGTTACCGTTAACTTCATCCTTGTTTCTGACTGTTCTTCTGTGGTGGCCCTGCTGGAGGCATCCAAGATAGCTGCAAACTGGGAGTCTCCATTGAATGGCAGCCTTCCCCCCTACTGCCTCCTCTCCTGAGAGCACCCTGTCACCCACAATTATCAAAGGTGCCTTGGGCATTAAGCAGGGTGGAAGCAAGCTGCTCCTACCTGGCACGTGGTGAGTCCTGTCCCATTCCTCTGTCCCCCTGTTTGCTCTTTTCTCCCCAACAGGTCACCCTCATTCACTCAAAAATCGCACTAGCTGATGTAGAGCTGCTAGACAGCGTCCGTCAGGAGGTGAAAGAGATTCTCCTCAGAAAAGGAGTGCGCCTCTTGTTAAGTACGTACTTAACGATGCCTCTGAAGATCTAGACTCTAGAACTCTGTAAGCTGCTCTTCCTTTAGGCAAAGCACCTCCTTCTGTCATCCTCTTTCTGATTTTACTGACTTGAGCATGGTTCCCTTGAATTCCTATTTCTCTAGACAGATCTGGGCCGGCTGGAAACAGCAGCCCAGTAAAGGTTTGCACTCTGTTGCAACAGGTGAAAGGGTCAGCAACGTGGAAAACCTCATGCCAAACCGGTTCCAGAAGGACATGGTAGTAAGGACAGAAAAGGGCACGGAGGTGGTTGTGGACATGGTGGTCCTGTGCACAGGGATAAAGATTAACTCTTCAGCATACGCTGCTACATTTGGTAAGTGAAAAAAACGCTGGGTGGGGAGAAGCAACACGGTTCGCCAATGTCTGGTACTTGAGTACTGTGAGGTTAGGAATCCACCTTGTACAACCTGCAGTGGTTATTCCACCATACAGCAAATGCTCTAACATCGCATTAAATACTTAACTGTGGAATGTGACGTCTGGAAACTTACAGAGCACGGATCAAGTGGCCAACAGTCTTCTCCAGCTCCTGCCAATACCTCCAAGGAACCTTAGAGTCCTAGTTCAGCATGAGGCAGATGACACCTAAAAGTTGATGGCAACTCCTGCTGTCAAGGCCAGGATTTCATCCTAGATATAAGCTTGCCGAGTTCTGAGCACAAGCAGGCTCAGCACGTTCAGCTCAACTATCAGTGTCTCAGGGCCCATCAGTTACTTGGTGATACATCTTCAGTCCAAATCCTCCTGATTTTCAGTTATGGCACTACAACTACGGAGCAGTATGACCATTATATAGTCTCTTTCTTGGGCTGCATACGCTAGCTCTTAATGTTTCTTGATGTTTCTACTGAAATATCAAAGGAGGCTTCGTTGCACGAGACCGCAATAGTTAACTACAGCAAGGCAAAAAGCATCTCTTCCCCGATGTGTAGAAATGAGGGTGAAAACCCAGCTCCTCACTTTGTGTCAGTGACATGTTTGATAAACATCACCAGCATTTTGGGGTCTCGGGCCACAAGCAGCAACACAAAGCTCCTTCTGAAAACTTACTATTTGGCACAACAGGGGACAAAATGGCAAGTGACGGTGCTTTGAAAGTTAACAAGCACCTCCAGCTGGAAGGCCATGAGAACATCTACGCCATTGGGGACTGCGCGGATCTGAAAGAACCAAAGATGGCCTACCATGCTGGGCTCCATGCCGACATCGCAGTGACAAATATCATCAACAGCCTGACGCATAAGCCTCTTAAAACCTACGAACCAGGTAAGGTAATCTCCCAGCGCTTGGCCTTAGCTGTCAGGCTGCAGGGAACAGCTGTTTAACATGCGCACATCAGAACTTGCACAGGACACTGGTTAGAGGTGAAGGGACTGACAATTGGGGCGGGCGATAGAAGCTCATAGCTCAGGCTTCATCTTGGGTCTTGCCAAAGACGCTGTAGACGTTAATTACCTGTGTCAGTCTACGGACGTGTGTCCTGTTGTCACTGATGTCTTCCTGATAAATCTACTGGTGGGTGTCTGCTATTCATCAAACTTGTTTCCTTCCTTTAAATTGCTTACTGTCCACTTGAATTCTAGGAACAAGATGATGACTTGACTTTCTCCTCCTTTCTCCCCTTAAACTACACAACAACCACAAACTGAACAATCTGGCCTCAAAAAAATCTAGCCAGGTGATGGGTCTCGTTAATAAGCAACTGATGTAAACACTTACCACAGCTGTGCTGGAAGCTGTTCCACATGGATGGAGGATAGCTGGACAACAGTTTAGTTTTTAAAGGCTGCCCTGCCTATTTACATTTTTTTCTACTTAAATTTTGCTGTCTACCTGTTGGGAGGAGAGAATCATTCTACACCAATGCACAGAGACAGCCCAATCCTTCAACAATCCCATTAGTGAAAGAGGTAGAGCAGATGGCAGAAAGGAGAGAGTTGTGAGGCCTTCTCCTTGGGTTTGCTGCTTTCCTTGTCACACAGCAGATGGGCGCTGTGCTCAGCAGTACGTGTGGGTATGAGGGGGGTAGGAAGGGAGGCTTTGGAAGAAGTGCAACACCTACATCTAGTAGGGTTTGATACTTAGCTTTGAAACTGCTTCACTTAAACCTCTGCATCTTCTTTCCAGGGTC